TAGGTTTAAAAGTCCCTCACAGTTAATTCCAATAACGAACTGTACTCCTCCGTGCAATCTACTTACGAGACCCTGGGCAGGTCTGGGTCCAATTTGTGGTAGAGACTGGTTTTTTCAGCCATGCTTGAGCGAGTAATAACAGGTCTATGCTGCCCTTTGGTGTCTAGCTTAATGCGCACAACACTGAACGTCCCAGCGTTTGTCAAAGATTTGCCGTTAAGTGATGCAAACCCGCTGAACCACGTTCATGAGGAGCCGGTACAGGGGGCCATGAATCAGTATGGACCTGGCAGCAGCGTGAGCAGACGACAGAGGCACATGGCGCAGGGTGGCGGTGGAGGCAGCAGTATTCGGAAGCCATACGCAGGCCTCGGTTAAAAAGCAGAAGCCGTCAGCAGCGTGAGCAGACGACAGAGGCACATGGCGCAGGGTGGCGGTGGAGGCAGCAGCAATGGAAGGCCATACAGCACCCTATCACAAAATGGAACCCACCAACAGTGTAAGGAGACCTGAAAGTGGCACATGGCAGAGTCTGGCGATGAAGTCAGCAGCAATGGGAGGCCGTACAGGGACCCATGACACACTCTGGACCTGGCAGCAGCAAGAGGAGGCGGTACAGGGGCCCATGGCAGAGTGGCGAAGTGTAAGCAGCTTAAATTGAAGGCCATACAGAGGCCTATGTTAAAAAGTCCCCCCAGCAGCAGCGTGGGGAGACGACTATTAGCCTCCTCATGCTGCTGCCAGGTCCAGAGTGTGTCATGGGTCCCTGTACCGCCTCCTCATGCTGCTGCCAGGTCCAGAGTCTCTCATGGGTCCCTGTACGGCCTCCCATTGCTGCTGTCTCCATCGCCACACTCTGCCATGTGCCACTTTCAGGTCTCCTCACACTGCTGGTGGGTTCCATTTTGTCATAGGGTGCTGTATGGCCTCCCATTGCTGCTGCCAGGCCCGTAATCTGCCATGGGCCCCCTTACCGACTCCTCATGCTGCTGCCAGGCCCGTAATCTGTCATGGGCCCCTGTACCGCCTCCTCATGCTGCTGCCAGGTCCAGAGTGTGTCATGGGTCCCTGTACGGCCTCCCATTGCTGCTGTCTCCATCGCCACACTCTGCCATGTGCCACTTTCAGGTCTCCTCACACTGCTGGTGGGTTCCATTTTGTCATAGGGTGCTGTATGGCCTCCCATTGCTGCTGCCAGGCCCGTAATCTGCCATGGGCCCCCGTACCGACTCCTCATGATGCTGCCAGGCCCGTAATCTGTCATGGGCCCCTGTACCGCCTCCTCATGCTGCTGCCAGGTCCAGAGTGTGTCATGGGTCCCTGTACGGCCTCCCATTGCTGCTGTCTCCATCACCACACTCTGCCATGTGCCACTTTCAGGTCTCCTCACACTCCTGCTGGTTTCCATTTTGTCATAGGGTGCTGTATGACCTCCCATTGCTGCTGCCTCCACCGCCACACTGTGGCTCCACACTCTGGTTTTGGCCCCGTGACTGGCCAAATGAGTGAAGTGTGCGGTGATTCTAAGATCGACGGCACTCATCTGCATGTCATACTGACTGACAGTATTATTTCTCTTCCCCAGCAGACTCCAAGGGCATTTAAATTAAAGGTACAGTGTTCTGCACTAATATAAAGGCTCTCTGAAGCCTAGAAACACCCTTTTTATAAGTTAAATTCACAGCGAATATATTCAACTCAAATCGAATTTATTCCGCGAATTCGGCGATTCAGCCGAATCAAATTTTTGAATACTTCGCTCATCTCTAATGTTTATGATATACACCTGACCACTGCACTCTATACACAGGGCTGTATATGACATGTGTCTGACCACTACACTCTACTCTGACTATTCTCTGCCTGATCTCCTGGCGCTGACCTCGGCTTGCTACTAGACCTTGTTCTGCCTGCTTCCCTGGTACTGAACCTGGCCTGCCTTCCTGGTACTGAACCCGGCCTGCTTCCCTGGTACTGAACCCGGCCTGCTTCCCTGGTACTGAACCTGGCCTGCCTTCCTGGTACCGACCGTGGCAGTCACCTGCTAACAAGCTACGGCCTCCAACCGAGGAACGTGACAGTGAGACTCTCCCTTGTGGAAGTCATTGAATTATATTTTTGTGGATACAAGGAAGTGAATTATGTTACTGTTTACACAATGAGTAGGCAAATGTTTAAGCTCCTCCCACTGTGATTTTACCACACCCACAATTCACTGCTGTGCCCCTCCTATTTATTCTCCTTTGGGTACCAAAGGGTTAAATTCCCCCAGGAACAGACATATCTTTGACCCTGTACTGTACTTCCTGGAGACCATTGGAGGATCTGATTGGACAGTAGAGATGTGAGGCCAGAAATCTGCTTCCTGATTGGACATGATATGGATCCTTCCTGGTTCTGGAAATCTCTGATCTCACCAGTCCGGTACCAGAGGATCGGCAAACACGAGGATTAGATATTTTACAGACATGGCCAATGGTGGGAATTTCCAAACACCAAATTATGATGTTCAGGGAAACCTTCCCCAACCTTCCTCCAATGGTGGAATCATTTGCCCCAGAGACCAGCAGGACCTTCTGGAACATTCTGGTGAAGAATAAGTGTGCTGTCAGACACCGTCACAGGAGGAGCTTTCCAAATTACCACTGGATGGCCCCCACAGACCCCCCACCATGTTTGTCAGGCTCTGCTATCACACCTATGTGCCCAGCACTCACATAGTGGGTGCCACTGGGTAGAGGGAGGAGATCATAAAACAACCAATCGCTGATCACCCCTAGAAGTGATGTGTATTCGGCCACTTCCGGGGTCAGTGCCATCATTCCTGACCACTGTGACCGGAGAAGCTGTGAATGGAGCTCACTCTGCTCTCCATTATCTTCAGTGGAGGGCAGGAAACACGAGGTGTCTGATAGACACCATGGAGGGCAGGAGACACACGAGGGGTCTGATAGACACCATGGAGGGCAGGAGACACACGAGGGGTCTGATAGACACCATGGAGGGCGGGAGACTCACGAGGGGTCTGATAGACACCATGGAGGGCAAGAGACACGAGGGCTCTGATAGACACCATAGAGGACAGGAGACACACGAGGGGTCTGATAGACATCATGGAGGGCAGGAGACACATGAGGGGTCTGATAGACACCATGGAGGGCAAGAGACACACGAGGGGTCTGATAGACACCATGGAGGGCAGGAGACACATGAGGGGTCTGATAGACACCATGGAGGGCAGGAGACACCCGAGGGGTCTGATAGACACCATGGAGGATGGGAGACACATGGAGGGCATGAGGGGTCTGATAGACACCATGGAGGGCAGGAGACACACGAGGGGTCTGATAGACACCATGGAGGGCAGGAGACACACGAGGGGTCTGATAGATATCATGGAGGGCAGGAGACACACGAGGGGTCTGATAGACACCATGGAGGGCAGGAGACACACGAGGGGTCTGATAGACACCATGGAGGGCAGGAGACACACGAGGGGTCTGATAGACACCATGGAGGGCGGGAGACACACGAAAAGTCTGATAGACACCATGGAGGGCGGGAGACACACGAGGGGTCTGATAGACATCATGGAGGGCAGGAGACACACGAGGGGTATGATAGACACCATGGAGGGCAGGAGACACACGAGGGGTCTGATAGACATCATGGAGGGCGGGAGACACACGAGGGGTCTGATAGATAGATAGGCACAGAAATACTGACATAATCAGACCGCTAGGGGGAGGTTAAAGAGAACCCGTCACCACAAAATGTGATCATATGGGGGCTATTGGTTCCTTATATGTTGGCATTATAGTGAAAAAATGAAAGGTGCACCCAAACACCTAAAACCCCGCCCCCTAATCATTGAGTTCCCACATACATACGAACCAATATTCCACCTGTGCCTACATACAAGATCATGGATTGCCCCACACATTACATCACGCCATGCATGCCGGAGTGAGAGCAATCATTCTCCATCCATGATTCAGGGTCACCTCTACACTGAGGACCTGGAAAGGCTTTTATAGCGCCCCCTAGGGGCATTTCTGAGGACAAAGTTTGTCCTGGTTTCATCATCACACCATTGTAGGGCTGGGCGTGTTGGGTATCTAGTTACTCAGCACAACCTCCTTTGTTTCCTGTTTTTGGGTAAAATATTACATTTGTTCACTAGATGACACTAATTCCTATAAAACGTTGTGCCATCTAATGGCGGAATGCACATTTTCAGCTGTAAATGAATGGTTGGTTTATTATTGCTGCTTGGATGACCTTCTATCCTTCAGTGTGTTCTGTACTCACAAGTGATGAGGATGACCTCAGTGATGGAGATGAATCCATGCCTGATGAAGGGAACTAAGGGCTCCACTTATAGACCATTCATTGGACGGAAGAGACAAGTGTCCATCCAGACATGACAAATTCTGGACCTATGTGATTTAACAGTGATTTCCTTTGATTGTCGGCTCCATCTAGTGGTCATAATGCAGTATTTTCCTGAAATACCTCCATCAGTAAAAGTCGCAGAATATGAAATGATGGTCCCTATTTGGAGCCAATGATCACATGAAAAAAAATGTGGCCAAAAGATGTCACAGCCGGGTGAATGCCGGTCACATTTATTAAACTTTTATTTAATAGATCTATAAGTGTTTGTGAAATCTCCACCACAAAATGTACTCAGCCAATCACAGGGCAGGACTCCATTTTTATTCTTCTCCTGCCATCAATGGCCGAACCGGTCCCACACTTCATCCATGTCTTTGGGGACCTCTGATCTCCTTATGAACTGTTTCTTCCATGATGAAGATCAGCCATGGAGTATATCTGAGGTGTATATCAGGGTGTGCTTCTTCCCCACATGAGAGCTGGGATGTCCAGCAACATTCATCTAGAAGACATTTCCCGCACTCAAGGCACTAATACACCTCCAGGGTTGTGTGGGACCCCTGATGTACAGGAAGACAGGACTTCAGTGAGGAACATTTCCCTCACTCAGGACAGGAAAGTGGCTTCTTCCCCTGATGTGTGAGATCTCTGATGTCTTGAACGACTGAACTTGTCTGAAAAACATTTCCCGCACTCAGGACAGGAATATGGCTTCTCCCCCGTGTGAGATCTCTGATGTTTGGAAAGATGGGACTTCTGTGAAAAACATTTCCCGCACTCAGGACAGGAATAAGGCTTCTCCCCCGTGTGAGATCTCTGATGTGTGTGTCAAGTTTTGATTTTCGTAAAAAACATTTCCCACACTCAGGACAGGAATAAGGCTTGTCCCCTGTGTGAGATCTCTGATGTCTATGAAGATTGGACTTATATGAAAAAACATTTCCCGCACTCAGACAGGAATACGGCTTCTCCCCCGTGTGAGATCTCTGATGACTGAAAAGATGGGACATCTGTGAAAAACATTTTCCCGCACTCAGGACAGGAAAAAGGCTTCTCCCCCGTGTGAGATCTTTGATGTATGTAAAGACTGGACTTGACTGAAAAAACATTTCCCGCACTCAGGACATGAATATGGCTTCTCCCCCGTGTGAGATCTTTTATGAACATTAAGTTTGTATTTAGAACATTTCCCGCACTCAAAGGAAACTTCCCGCACTTTTGAGTACAGGAGAAACTCTTCCCTGTTGGAAGGCCGGCCCGGTCCCGCACAGTCTGAGGTTCCTCAGGATACAGAGGAATCCGATGGTCCATCTACACTGGGTGGTGCCGGATGGACATTGGAGGGAGCCGGGTTTTCTCCTGGACTATACTGTGTGATGTCCTCATCTTCTACTTTCCAGTCTGGAGACAAAGTGAGACAATCCTCGGAGGTTTTCCTCATCTCCCGGCCATGGACTAAAATACAAAGACAAAGAGGATTACTAGACAGGAGCTGATTGGTTCCCCCAAACCAGGACTCCGCCCACATCAGGCAGCTTGGTCTCTGAGGAGCTTACAATTCCACCCTCAAGGGAACTAGGAAATGGCTCCTCTGATCTCCTACCAGGTCATTTCTTTATTCATGGACCTTAGTCAGAGAGTGAGGAAACAACCAGAACTGTCTTTTATAGGAGGGACAGTGATGAGGGGATTATAGGACGAGGGTCCCCACCCCCTCTATCACTCATCGCCATCTTCCCAACACAAGAAGTACTGCACTTCCTTATTTAGTCCATGATTTAGTCATGAAGAACAGCGGGGCTGAGCCCCACCAGAGGTCAGAGAGTGAGGATGGGGGGAGAACAACCAAGATGAAGACTGGACTGATCCTGAAGACCACCATCATTGGGGTATTGACTCCTCCCTCATTATCACTTTCTGTTTAAGGGTCCAAAGTTGGAGGATGTTATCACATTATTATCACCATGTAAAAGTCTGTGCTCCAATCACATCATCCGATATAAAATGTCCAGCTGGGAGGAAATGGGGGGAACAAAAGAGAATCCATATTATGTGTATATATAGCAGTGGGGGGAGGGGGGGAGAGGGGAAGTCAGGACTATGGAATGTACAACATAGAGTATAGAGTATATAGTGCAGGGGTCAGGAGTATGTAATGTACAAGAGTATATAGTGCAGGGGTCAGGAGTATGTAATGTACAACATAGAGTATATAGTGCAGGGGTCAGGAGTATGTAATGTACAACATAGAGTATATAGTGCAGGGGTCAGGAGTATGTAATGTACAAGGGGTCAGGAGTAGGAGTATATAGTATATAGTGCAGGGGTCAGGAGTATGTAATGTACAACATAGAGTATATATAGTGCAGGGGTCAGGAGTATGTAATGTACAACATAGAGTATATAGTGCAGGGGTCAGGAGTATGTAATGTACAACATAGAGTATATAGTGCAGGGGTCAGGAGTATGTAATGTACAACATAGAGTATATAGTGCAGGGGTCAGGAGTATGTAATGTACAACATAGAGTATATAGTGCAGGGGTCAGGAGGATGTAATGTACAACATAGAGTATATATGTGCAACATAGAGTATATAGTCAGGTCAGGAGTATGTAATGTACAACATAGAGTATATAGTGCAGGGGTCAGGAGTATGTAATGTACAACATAGAGTATATATAGCAGGGGTCAGGAGTATGTAATGTACAACATAGAGTATATAGTGCAGGGGTCAGGAGTATGTAATGTACAACATAGAGTATATAGTGCAGGGGTCAGGAGTATGTAATGTACAACATAGAGTATATAGTGCAGGGGTCAGGAGTATGTAATGTACAACATAGAGTATATAGTGCAGGGGTCAGGAGTATGTAATGTATGTCAACATAGAGTATATAGTGCAGGGGTCAGGAGTATGTAATGTACAACAGAGAGTATATAGTGCAGGGGTCAGGAGGATGTAATGTACAACATAGAGTAGTATATAGTGCAGGGGTCAGGAGTATGTAATGTACAACATAGAGTATATAGTGCAGGGGTCAGGAGTATGTAATGTACAACATAGAGTATATAGTGCAGGGGTCAGGAGTATGTAATGTACAACATAGAGTATATAGTGCAGGGGTCAGGAGTATGTAATGTACAACATAGAGTATATAGTGCAGGGGTCAGGAGTATGTAATGTACAACATAGAGTATATAGTGCAGGGGTCAGGAGTATGTAATGTACAACATAGAGTATATAGTGCAGGGGTCAGGAGTATGTAATGTACAACATAGAGTATATAGTGCAGGGGTCAGGAGTATGTAATGTACAACATAGAGTATATAGTAGCAGGGGTCAGGAGGATGTAATGTACAACATAGAGTATATAGTGCAGGGGTCAGGAGGATGTAATGTACAACAGGAGTATATAGTGCAGGGGTCAGGAGTATGTAATGTACAACATAGAGTATATAGTGCAGGGGTCAGGAGTATGTAATGTACAACATAGAGTATATAGTGCAGGGGTCAGGAGGATGTAATGTACAACATAGAGTATATAGTGCAGGGGTCAGGAGTATGTAATGTAAAACATAGAGTATATAGTGCAGGGGTCAGGAGTATGTAATGTACAACATAGAGTATATAGTGCAGGGGTCAGGAGGATGTAATGTACAACATAGAGTATATAGTGCAGGGGTCAGGAGTATGTAATGTACAACATAGAGTATATAGTGCAGGGGTCAGGAGTATGTAATGTACAACATAGAGTATATAGTGCAGGGGTCAGGAGTATGTAATGTACAACATAGAGTATATAGTGCAGGGGTCAGGAGTATGTAATGTACAACATAGAGTATATAGTGCAGGGGTCAGGAGGATGTAATGTACAACATAGAGTATATAGTGCAGGGGTCAGGAGTATGTAATGTACAACAGAGAGTATATAGTGCAGGGGTCAGGAGGATGTAATGTACAACATAGAGTATATAGTGCAGGGGTCAGGAGGATGTAATGTACAACATAGAGTATATAGTGCAGGGGTCAGGAGGATGTAATGTACAACATAGAGTATATAGTGCAGGGGTCAGGAGGATGTAATGTACAACATAGAGTATATAGTGCAGGGGTCAGGAGGCTATGTAATGTACAACATAGAGTATATAGTGCAGGGGTAAAATGTACAACAGAGTATATAGTGCAGGGGTCAGGAGTATGTAATGTACAATGCAGAGTATATAGTGCAGGGGTCAGGAGTATGTAATGTACAACAACATATTGTATAAGATACAATTGATAAGACTCAGGGATATTGAAATTGTATGTGCCCACATGCTGGGATATAGTTCAGGGGCAGGGGTAGGGTAGTAGTTTTGTTGTACAACAGCCCTGTTGTGTGCAGGGGTTAGGGTCACCTGTCAGGTGACAAGTATATTGGGCGGCAGCGCTGCCACTGATAATGTTCCACACAGTATATAGTTCTAGGGGTCCACCCCCCGTATGAACCTAATGTACCACCTACTGTCTCCCAGACTCTATAGTTGCCCATCTGCAGGCCCAGGATGTAAAGTTCAACTGCCATAGTGCTGGGGAGGGGAGTCAGACGTCTGCTCCCCTTCCCTCTTGTCCTGATCCAGAAGTGACATTATGATGTCACTTCTGGGTATAGTCGGTTGAGAGATTTCCCAGCCATAGAGGCTGGCAAAGAATGCAGTGCAGTGCGGTGTGCATGTGCATTACATCCAGGGTATATAGTACAGGGGAGACATTGGGGGTCTTTTAGACCTTGGATGTCTCAATAAAGAGAACCTGTCATCAAAGAAGTTTTTTTAATTGTAAAATATTAAAAGTTACAGGGGTCAGCTCATACCATCCACTCAAAAAAAAGAATGAGCCCCCCACATACACACACGTACAAATGTAAAAGCACATGCTGGAGCGCCTACACATGAACAACATGATGATTGTGATACACGTTACATATCGTTGCACACGCCAGAATGAGAGCGATAATTATAGCACCAGACCTCCTCCGTACACTACCATACCAGATTTATTTTTTTTCATTCAGGGGTCTCTGGATTGTCAGAAAATATCTCATGTTTGGGGGGTTTGTGTCATCTTCAGGCCGAAAATGATTTTTTTTAACTTGTGAAGAAAAAACAAAAACTAGTGCTCTGGGTCAGCGAAAGGGATAAAGGATAAGCCGGACACTCCCCTTTCCTGAGGAGCAGCCAATCTGTGCTCATTACACTACAATGTACTCTCATCCTCCCTGCTATAGTCCTCAGGGGCGGGGCTGGAGACAGGCAGGGAGGGGAGGAGGAGAGATATAGCGTAATGGTAAAAATATTACACGTTTAAGTCGCCATAAAGCCCCTTTTGATTGTATAACCGACATTCCTAAAAGGTCCTCAGATTGCAATACAGTTTGGGTGTACATTTTATAGTTTTTATCAGGACAAGTAGATTGTCATGAGTGGTCACAAGTCGTTTTTTCAAAAATGTTAACACCAACAGGACTATATAGTGCAGGGGTCAGGATGATGTAATGTACAACATATAGTATATAGTGCAGGGGGTCAGGAGTATGTAATGTACAACATAGAGTATATAGTGTGCAGGGGTCAGGAGTATGTAATGTACAACATAGAGTATATAGTGCAGGGGTCAGGAGTATGTAATGTACAACATAGAGTATATAGTGCAGGGGTCAGGAGTATGTAATGTACAACATAGAGTATATAGTGCAGGGGTCAGGAGTATGTAATGTACAACATAGAGTATATAGTGCAGGGGTCAGGAGTATGTAATGTACAACATAGAGTATATAGTGCAGGGGTCAGGAGTATGTAATGTACAACATAGAGTATATAGTGCAGGGGTCAGGAGTATGTAATGTACAACATAGAGTATATAGTGCAGGGGTCAGGAGTATGTAATGTACAACATAGAGTATATAGTGCAGGGGTCAGGAGTATGTAATGTAATGTACAACATAGAGTAATAGTGCAGGGGTCAGGAGTATGTAATGTACAACAGAGTAGTATAGTGCAGGGGTCAGGAGGATGTAATGTACAACATAGAGTATATAGTGCAGGAGTCAGGAGTATGTAATGTACAACATAGAGTATATAGTGCAGGGGTCAGGAGTATGTAATGTACAACATAGAGTATATAGTGCAGGGGTCAGGAGTATGTAATGTACAACATAGAGTATATAGTGCAGGGGTCAGGAGTATGTAATGTACAACATAGAGTATATAGTGCAGGGGTCAGGAGTATGTAATGTACAACATAGAGTATATAGTGCAGGGGTCAGGAGTATGTAATGTACAACATAGAGTATATAGTGCAGGGGTCAGGAGTATGTAATGTACAACATAGAGTATATAGTGCAGGGGTCAGGAGTATGTAATGTACAACATAGAGTATATAGTGCAGGGGTCAGGGAGTATGTAATGTACAAC